AGATTTTTTATATGGACATGGATGCCATTGTTGCTGCTCTGCATGTGATGTATGCTGATGACTCTAGTGTGCTTCCCGCTTATTACTCACTGTTGCCTAGTGTAGGTGTGCCTAGCTTAGCCTCCCGTGCTGCGTCAAGCGTAGGATCCCCTGCTTTGTGTAGTCTTGGTGCTTCAGCCGTCGTTCCGTTGCCAGACGCCTCTGCTTCGCTTTCCTTCATCTTGGACTCTGGCGCTTCTCGGTGTTTCTTCCGCGACTCCACCACCCTGACGCCGCTTCCTGTCCCAGCTGCCGTCTCTCTTGCTGACCCCTCTGGCGGTCCGGTAGTCGCCCGCAGCTCCACCACCCTTCCCTGTCCGGCGGTTCCTTCGGGCACTCTCACAGGTCTGCATATCCCCTCGTTCTCCAGGAACCTAGTTGGTGTCGGCTGCCTGCAGGACCTTGGCGTCACCACTACGTTCCCTGGTCACGAGCGGTATGCTGTCTGTACCGAGGCCGCCACCGGTGCCCCCCTGTCCACGTTCCCCCGGGACCCGGTGTCCGGCCTGTTCACTCTGGACACCGTGACCCCCTCAGCTGGGGCGCCTCCTCAGGTGGCTGCGTCTACCCAGGTTGCTGCTGCCTGCTCCTGTCGGTCCCTCACTCACCCGACTCTCCTTTGGCACCATCGCCTAGGTCACCCTGCACTCCCGCGTCTGCGTCACATGTCCCAGCACGGTCTTGTCCTTGGTCTCCCAGGTTCCCTCCCCGCGTTTCCCTCCTCCCCAGCCCCACCTTGCACGCCTTGTGTCGAGGGTTGGCTTCGCTGTGCCCCTCACTCCTCCTCGTTTCCCCCTACCACCGCGCCGCTGCAGACCCTGCACCTGGACGTCTGGGGCCCCGCCCCCGTCCCTGGGCCGCGTCGAGAGCGCTACTTCCTTGTGCTTGTCGACAACTTCACTCGTTACACCACAGTCTTTCCCCTGGAGCGCAAGGCCGACGTGCCTGGTGCTCTCATCCCCTGGCTTGTCTCTGCACGTGTCCACCGCGGTCTCCCTGTCTTGCGTCTTCACTCCAACCGTGGTGGCGAGTTTGCCTCAGGTGTCCTTGGTCGCTTTTGTCGTGCGGAGGGCATCACCCAGACGTTCACCCTACCGGACTCCCCACAGCAGAATGGGGTCGCTGAGCGACGCATCGGTTTGGTCATGGAGGTGGCTCGCACCTCCATGATCCATGCCGGTGCACCCCATTTTCTGTGGCCGTTCGCTGTGCGCTACGCTTCTCACCAGCTTAACTTGTGGCCGCACCCTCAGCAGCCGCAGGTTTCGCCGACTCGTCTTTGGACTGGGTCTCCTGGTGACGCATCTGCGTTCCACGTCTGGGGCTGCCTTGCTCACGTCCGTGCCTCCGGCACGGACAAGCTCACTGCCCGCACCCTTCCCTGCGTCTTCCTCGGTTTTCCCCTTGACGCGTCCGACTGGCACTTTTACCACCCGCCGTCTCACCGCTTCTTTCACTCTCGTGACGTCACCTTTGACGAGTCCGTCTCCTACTACCGACGCTTCCCCCACCGCGGTCCCCCGGTTACCCCCCCCCTGTTCCTAGTCACTCCTTCCCCGGTAGTCCCTGTCCCTCCTCCTCCTCCTCCCCGTCCAGCCCCCTCTGGTGTGTCCCACGTCATCCCCCTTCCGTCGGTGGACCCGGTTGAGGAGTCTTCTGACTCTGGTGGCCCTCCTGTTCAGTCCTCACCGGCCGCCCCTCCCCTGGCGTCCCCTCCCCAGTCCCCCCCTCCACAGCCTCTGCCGCCGCTGCAGCCGTCGTTGTCGCTGCCGATGCCGCCGCCGCCGTCGCAACACCCGTTCGCTGACTCTGGGGGTGCTCGTCCCGGTAGCCCTGGGGGTGGTCCCTCTGGGGGCGCTGGTGTGGAGAGTGCCGGTGGTAGCCGAGGAGCAGCTTGCGGTCCCGGTGTCGCCGTTGTGCCGCCGCAGCAGCAGTCCCCGCCGGTGTCAGCCCTTCGCCTGCTCGGCCTTCCGTCCCCCAACCCTGCGTCGGTTCCTCCCCGGCCGTCTCCTCCTCTTCCTGTCTACGGCCCTGTCTTCCCTCCGCCGGACTTGTCCCCGGCCCGTCTCCCCCCTCGTTCCCCTCCTGTGTCCCCTCCTCTGTCTCCTGACCCGACTCCTCCGTCGCACGTCTGGTCTCACCGTCCCTCCCGTGCTCGTCCTGCCTCGCCTGTCTTGCGCTCCCACCCTATGTTGCTCCGTTCCCACGCGTCTCGTCCTCCCCTTCTGCCGTCGCCTCCTCCGTCCTCCCTTGTTGTTGCACCCCCCTCGCTGTCTGACTACCTTCGTGCTGCTCGTCCCTTGTTCCTCGGGTCCTTGCCTCTCTCGTTACCGACCCGTCTGTTCCGGCCTCCTGCCTTGACGCTCTTGTCGCTGCTATCGCTGACTTCGCCTCTACCTGCCGCCTTGACTACGCCTCCGCTCTGGTCTCTGACCCTGCCTGTCCTCCGTCTATCGGGGGTGCTCCTGCCCTTGGCAGTGACGTCCTGGAGGACCGCCAGTTTGAGCTTGCTTTCCTGTCCGAGGCTGCTCCCCATCTCTGTTCCATGCTGCTAGTCCCTGAGGGTGACCCAGACGCTTTCGACATCCCGACCCCTCGCACTTACGCTGAGGCGACTTCGGGACCCTGGGCCTCGCAGTGGATAGCTGCCATGGAGCAGGAGATGGCATCTTGGAGATCCACCGGCACCTTCGTCGACGCAGTTCCCCCACCTGGGTGAACGTAGTCGATGGCCGCTGGCTCTTCAAGGTGAAGCGCCCTCCTGGAGAGCCGCCTGTCTTCAAGGCGCGCTATGTCGCTAGAGGCTTCAGTCAGCGCGAGGGGGTGGACTTCTTCCAGACCTTCGCTCCGACCCCAAAGATGACTACTCTTCGGGTTCTGTTACACCTAGCTGCTCAGCGTGACTACGAGCTTCACTCCCTCGACTTCTCCACTGCCTTCCTTCAGGGCAGCCTACACGAGCAGGTCTACCTGCGCCGCCCCCAGGGCTTCACTGGCACCTTCCCTCCTGGGACCCAGTGGCTCCTGCGGCGCCCTGTCTACGGCCTGCGCCAGGCTCCCCGTGAGTGGCACGACACTCTCCGTGCTACGCTTGCTGACCTGCAGTTCTTTCCGTCTTCCGCAGACCCTTCACTCTTCGTTCGTGCTGGCCAGACTCCGTTCTACATCCTTGTTTACGTCGACGATCTAGTCTTTGCCACAGCTACAGGGACGCACTGGCCTCCGTGAAGGCAGAACTGCTGAAGAGACACACGTGCACTGACCTTGGAGAACTGCGCCGTTACCTTGGCTTGCAGATCTCCAGGGACAGAGCTGCGCGCACCATCACCCTGACTCAGTCACACTTGGTGCGCCAGGTCCTTCAGAGGTTCAGCCTTCAGTTCTCCTCTGCACAGCCCACCCCTCTGCCTGTAGACCACAGACTCTCCGCTCCAGTGTCTGAGGAGTTGGTAGAGCCCAGCGGCCCCTACGCAGAGCTGGTGGGTTGCCTCATGTACCTGATGACTTGCACTCGCCCAGATCTCGCATACCCTCTCAGCATCCTGGCTCGCTTTGTGGCCACAGGCAGACACCGACCGCAGCACTGGTCTGCCGCTAAGAGGGTTTTGCGTTATCTTGCTAGTACATCGGGCATGGGGTTAGTGCTAGGAGGACGCAGGCCAGTGGTCCTTACTGGACACACAGACGCTTCGTGGGCAGACGACGCTGAGACACTCAGGTCTACCCAGGGCTACTGCTTCAGCCTTGGCTCAGGTGCCGTCTCGTGGAGAGCTACCCGCTCCTCGTCTGTTGCCCAGTCCAGCTGTGAGGCTGAGATCTACGCTGGTGCCATGGCGGCACAGGAGCTCCGCTGGCTGACCTTCTTGCTCACTGACTTAGGTGAGCGGCCTAGCTCTGCCCCGGTCCTGTTCGCTGACAACAGGGCCATGATCCTCCTGTGTCAGGAGCCTCGACTCGAGGGCAGAGCAAAGCACATTCAGCTGCGGTACTTCCTCCTGCGTGAGCTACAGCAGCGACGTCAGGCTCGCGTAGTACACTTGGCCTCAGGTGCCAACACGGCTTATATCTTTACAAAGGCGCTTGCGCCTAAAGATCATCAGCGGCACTGTGTACAGCTTGGTCTAGTTCCTGTAGCCTCTCACTTGCTAGGGCCTTGACTTTGTACTGTCCTTTATACATATACTCAGACTGGACTTGTGTCCTCTCCCAGTGGCTGGACTAGTAGTGCCGCCCTGCTCTTGTTCTTGCCTTGTTTGTACTCCTTCTGACTGGTCTTTTAGACCCTTGTCTCAGAGGTTGGACTAGTAGTGCCGCCCTGAGCTGTTTGTCTAGGGCATTCCCCTATGCAGTCTAGGGGGTGTGTCAAACATGTGTATTTGTCATGTTTGTATAGACTGTATAGGGTCGCCTCTTAGAGAGTACAACACTTAGGTATATCTGTGTGTACTCTCACTCTATCCAATTCACTTTTTCAATTCCTGATAGCAGGGACCATCTCGTGGAGGTCCACCCGCTCGTCGTCTGTTGCACAGTCTAGCTGCGAGGCTGAGATCTACGCTGGTGCCATGGCGGCTAGGAGCTCCGCTGGCTGACTTTCTTGCTCACAGACTTAGGTGAGCGGCCTAGCTCTGCCCCAGTCCTGTACGCTAACAACAGGGCCATGATCCTCTTGTGTCAGGAACCTCGATTGAAGGGCAGAGCGAAGCACATCCACCTGCGGTACTTCCGCCTACGCGAGCTTCAGCAGCGCCGCCAGGCCCGCGTAGTTCACTTGCCTCCGGTGCCAGCACAACTGATATCTTTTACGAAGGCGCTTGCGCCTAAAGATAATCAGCTTGGTCTAGTTCCTGTAGCTTCTCACTTGCTAGGACCTTGATTGTATACCATATCTTGTATTTTCTTGACTGGCCTTGTGGCTCCTATTCCAGTGGCTGGACTAGTAGTGCCACCATGGCTTGCCTTTGTCTAGTTTGTACTCTTCTGACTCGTCTTCGTACCCTTGCCCCAGAGGTTGGACTAGTAGTGCCACCCTGAGCTGCGTGTCTCGTGCTAGTCGCCCCTTATCTAGCCTAGGGGTGTGTCAACATATATTTGTATATGTCATAGGCTAGATAGGTGCATGCTCATAGAGAGTACAACACCTTAGAACAAAACCACTCCGTATCACTCATTCTACTCCATTCGTTACTCTGAGACTGCATTAAAAAAAAAAAAAAAAAAAAAAACAGAAGGGCAGACCAAGGTGAAGCATGCACTTTCTCAGCAACACAATCAAACATTCTCAATATCAGGGCTGAAGCAGCAAAAATCAATGTTGCACGAAAACTTGAGACAATCACTGTCAGTCCTGCAAATTCATTTTCCTTGTTTTGGAAGTCAGTCATGCCCTGTCTGCTCCCCACCACGCCCACCTTGCCTTGAGGCGCCTCAAAACCGTAAATGAAGATAATCAGTCCTCCTCCGCCTGCCCTGTGCGCGCAGGTGAGGTTCTTGTCTCTCTTTTGGAAGTCTGTCATGCCCTGGCCCGCTCCCCACCACCCCCACCTTGCCGGTGCACGTCCTCTGGCGACTTGAATATGCTCTCCTTCTTGCGCCCCGTCATGAAGCCCGCCTGCAGATATATGGGGAGTGAGGGGAGGAAAGAGAGGAGAGGAAAGGGAAGTCAGCCATGCCCGGCTCACTCCCACCATCCCCACGCTTCCCCTCACGTCCTCTGGCGACTTGAACATGCTTTCCTTCTTGCAGCCTGTCATGAAGCCAGCCTGGAAAGACGAGAGATGGGAGAAGAGGATAACGAAGAGGGGGTCAGAAGGATGAGCCGTGAAGGGATTGCCAGCAGTGGAGCTGGTGATCTTAGCCCAACCGTATTGCCGGACGACTTGAAAATGCTATCTTTCTTGCGGCTTGTCATGGGGCCAGCCTGCAGAGATACCAGGGCCCATCCCTCATGACGGTGAGAAGATCAGGAAGACGTGAAAGAAGTGAGCTATAGAAGGAAGAAGTGAGAGAAAGGGTGGAAGGGGGAGGAGAAGGGAGTGGGGGGAAAGAGGGTCATGACTCATGAAGATGAGTTGAAAGGAAAAAAGGACACCCCTGGCAAGTGGAGATAAAGTTGTGAAGGGTTCAAGAGCAGTGAAGGGGGCACAATAGCTACACTGCGAAGGTTGTGATTTATGCAAAAGAGTGTCTAGGGCAGGGGCTTCCACGTCATGAATGAGTGGGTGTACAAAGGGGCTCATTTCGACAGAGCGGGTAATTGGGATGCACGAAATCATGCAAGTGCATGCGCTCACAATAGCAAAGAGATTCACAGAGAGGGGCGGAAGGGAGAACGAGAAAGGAAGAGACAGAAGAGGGGGTGGAGCGGGAGTGAGGGTCACAGAGGCACAAGGAGGAAGGATGGATATAGGAGGAGATTAGAGCAGACCTTCTTTTTTATGCCCTTGGTTTGGAACTGCTGCCACGTGTTCTGCTTCTTGTTGGTCATCACCTCCAGCATCTCCATCCGCTGCTTCGACTTGACGCGTGGATCTTCCGCTTCTTCTCTGCTTTCTGCGCAGGGGAGGGGAGGGAGAGGGAGTGGTAAAAGAGCGCAAATGATAAGGGGAAGTGGATAACGGTAGCGATGAGATGGGATAAGGGAGGATACATGGAAGTTAAAAGGAACGACCGAAGAGAGGATAAGGGAGGGGAGGGGGATTGACACGGAGAAACGTGAAAGGAAGAAAGAGACGCTTCAATTTTGAACCGTAAACCGTTAACCCGAAATCACCCCTCTGTACCCCTCCGAACTGCACATACCACATCCTCACCCCGTTGCACCTCTCTCCACCGCACTCACCACGTCCTCTGAGTCTTCCGGTTTGATCCGCAGCTTGAGTGGGATCTCTTTCTTCACCAGCTCCGTCCTGGAAGCTTCCTCCATCTTCCGTTTGAGCGCTCTCCGTGTTTCGTCCGCCTCCCTCTCAACTGCTGCCAGTGCCTCCTGCGCTCTCTTCCTCGCATCCTCCTCACTCTCCTCCACCCGCCGCACTCTCGTCTCCCGGACCTGCATTGTGAGGGCAGCGTTGTGGGGCCTAGTCAGCGAGGCAAAAGGGAGATGGAGCGTGTTGGAGGTGCCTCCTGCGCTCTCTTCCTCGCGTCCTCCTCACTCGCCTCCACCTGCCTCACCCTCGTCTCTCGGACCTGCAAGGATGGGGGTCAAGCCCACAAGCGAGAAAAAACCATCTGCAAGCAAGGTTTGCCTCTCATGTGACAATGACATAACTCAGGTGACATGAGAGGAATGCCTCCTGAGCTCGCTTCCCCGCGTCTTTCTCACTCTCGTCTCGCACACCTGCCGGGTTGTGAGGGCGAGGTGAAATCTGTCAACGGCTTGACGAGACTGCTTGAGTGCCTTTTGGGGCCAGCATGTGGGGGCTACGTGGTTGGTGAGGCCAAAGGCAAGGTGGTGATGCCAAGGCAAGGTTGCAGGGCCATGCCAGTAATCAGGAAACAAGTAAAATGGTTCACAACAGTGTCCCCTGCTGTGGGGTGAGATGTCAATTGTAATGCATACCGTGATGTGAACGACGCGGAGCGTGAGGAGAGAGAGGAGAGTGAGAGAGTGCGAGCATTACCTCGTGCATCTGACCCCCTGCATCGCGAACCACGTAGCCCCCTGTTGTGACACTGTCCACCACGCCCTCCCGCCTGGAAGGGAGTAGAGTGAGGGAGAGTAAGAGGAGAGCGAGGGAGAGTGAGGGGGAGTAAGAAGGGAGTAAGAGAGAGGGGAGTGCAACGCGAACCACATAGCCCCCTGTTGTGACGCTGTCCCCACGCACTACCGCCAGGGGGAGAGTGAAAGAGTGCGGGGAGGAGCGTGCAAAGAAAGTGATAGAGTGGCAGTGACGAATGAGGGACAGAGTGGAAACTAAGGGAAGCCACTCAGTGAACAAGAGGTGACTGAATCGAAAACCCAATGAGCTGCCTGGACGGACCTTAAATAATCAAGCATCCTTCCGTACCAAGCGTTCCTTCGTACCAAGCGTCCCTCCATACCAAGCCACCCACTGTACCAAGCCACCCACCACCAATCCACCCACCGTACCAACCAAGCCACCCACCATACCAAGTCATCCACTGTACCGAGGCCCATCTTTTTGCCCGTCACGCCAGCCACAGAAGCCTGAAGCCCATCGTTATGCCTGCGTGCACTGCTGCGCCCTTTGTGTCAGGGACAAGAAAACCCTGGGACCCTACCAGGCCTACCACCCCCCTCACCACTTGCAGCTCCTAATGGCCGCAGCAGCAGCGCCTTCGCTGCCAGCCCCCATACTGCTTGCACTGCATTGGCCATAGTGTCAGTGCCAGTCAATGACAGAGCCTGTAACCGTTTAGGGTTCTCTCACCACTCCGAGCTCCGTATGCCCCCAGTAGCAGTGCCGCTGCCAGCCCCACGCCGCCTGCACCGACGTGCCGACTGCAATGCGAGACGATGCTGCTCCTGGGCCCCTGCTGTGGCGGCCGTTGCTGCTGCTGCTGCTGCTAGGGCTGCTGGGTCGGCAGTCTGAAAGGCGACGGTTGGGATGGAAGCGGAGGAAGTATGGTAAGTCAGGGATTCGTGGAAAGGCCAGGTGAGGGCTTGTCACCGGAAGTGAGAAGTGAGAAATGGAATGGCTAAACGATCAACGGTGATAGTGCCATGCTGGCACTTACAACAGGATAAGTGGC